CCTGGGTCCGGGCTCCCTCCCCTCGAGAGGAGTTGGCGGGAGAAAGGGAGGAGGTTGGGTCCGAACGTGGATCCAGACGCCGTCAGGGGCCGCGCTGGGCTGGGACTCGCGTGGGGCCGGGAGAGGGGTGGCCCTTATTGGAAAATAAAGGGACCAAAAGGAGTTTCGTGAGGAGACGCGCCCATCGGGACGGGAGGAGCCGGAGGAGCGGCGACGCTCCCCGTTCCCGCTCCCGTCCCCGGCGCCCTATTCTTGGCCGAGCGGGGCTGCTGGCCCGGCCCATCACCTGTTGGATCTTTTTGGGGGTTTTTAGCTGCTTGATCTTAGCAGCCCTCCTCCCCCTGCCCCCCTCTCTCTTTCAGGCCCCGACCCCTTTAGGAAGCTGATGCCTGTATCTGTGTGTCTGTCTGTATCTGTGTTTGTGTATCTGTGTATGTGTCTGTGTGTCTGTCTGTATCTGTGTGTGTGTATCTGTGTATGTGTCTGTGTGTCTGTCTGTATCTGTGTGTGTGTATCTGTGTATGTGTCTGTGTGTCTGTCTGTATCTGTGTGAGTGTGTGTGATCTTGCTGACCATCGGGTTTCACTGGATTTCTCCTTTGTGGTGCCTTTGTCCCGGGTCTGTTCTGCAAAGTAGAAATATTTTGCTGTCTGTGTAGGTCAGAAGCTGACGTTTGCTGCAGGGGGTTGAGTTTTTCGTCAGACCCGAGGGAACACGTAAGAAGCAAGGGGAGGACTCGGTGGGGGCGGGGCAGGAAAAGTGGGGACTGAGGCTCCCCACTGCCCTGTGATGACCAGGCCTTGTTTGAGGGCCGAGTGCCCAGAATAGCGACAGGGCTTTGCTGCTGCTGCTTTTTTTAAAATATGTTTTGTTGATTTTTTTTACAGAGGAAGGGAGAGGGAGATCCAGAAACATCGATGAGAGAAACATCAGCTGCCTCCTGCACACTTCCCACTGGGGATGTGCCCATAAGCAAGGTACATGCCCTTTACCTGAATCGAACCCGGGACCCCCCAACCCCCAGGCCAACTCTCTATCCACTGAGCCAAACAGGCCAGGGCGGGACGGGCTTTGCTTCTTGCCGTGAAATGGGGAAGTCCTGGAATTCTAGGCTTAATCTCATCACCTGGAGCTCATCCATCCTGATCCAGTCCCGCCGGTGGGGCGGGGCCTGAGAGAGCCATTGATTGGCTCTGCTTGATCTGTTTCTTTTCATCTATTTTAAATTGTTTCCCAAGGGTACACAGAGGCCAGGGAGGGGGGGCGGGGGGGAGTTCTTACAACTTCCTAAGCAACAGATTGTACCTTCTGAAAAGAAAAAAGTCTTCAAGTGCCCTGGGGTGATGGGTGTGGGTGGGTGAGCCTGTGTTCAAGATGGCACCAGGGGCCTGCACAGCCCAGCGGGGCCGTGGCTGGGTGTCCTCGCGTGCCAGCCCTGCCAGCTGCGGAGAGTGGTGGGTTTGGAGTCTGATCTGTGGACCTGCTGCTGGTGGTTGAGGGAGCCAGTTGTGATGTGCAAGGTGTTTGACAAGCTCAGGTGCTTGCTGTGCAGACTAAGTGGCACTGGTTTCTCTTGCCAAGTGAAAGTCCTTGGGCAAACCCAGAGGGCCCGTGGCTGTAGTAAGGCTGCTCCACGCTCCACGGCCCAGCAGGCTCTGGAGTGAAAGTCTCGGTGAGCTGAGTTCTAACTGAAAGGACTTCCGCCTGGACACTGGCAGGCCCGTGAGTCACCGCCCTGTGCCAGCAGGCAGGGCTTAGGGCGGCCTGGTGCCCTGTTGGTGGGCTCGCGGGACCCCAGCTATGGGCTGGCTGCTCCTGCTCCCCCTCGCCTTCCTGTTTGTAAGGGACCTGATTTGATAGGGTGATTCCAAGCGGAGTTTTGCTAAGGCTGGAAAGGCCCTGAGTGTGGGGGTGTCACGTGGTGTGGGCTCCTGGCACCGGCAGGGGAGTGAGGGCTATAATTTTGTATTTTCTAAGTGTATAGTTTTCTGGTTATGTCATAAACGCTTCAGAAAGCAAGTGACATTTTTGTTAGAGAAAATATGTTTTAAAAGGTTGCCTGGCTGGCGTGGCTCAGTGATTGAACCTCGACCTCTGAACCAGGAGGTCTTGGTTTGATTAGCAGTCGGGGCACAGGCCCAGGTTGCAGGCTCGATCCCAGTGTGGGGCCTGCAGGAGGCAGCGATCAGGGATTCTGTCTCATCATGGATGTTTCTCTCTCTCCCTCTCCTTCCTCTCTGAAGTCAATAAAAAACATCTCCTTTAAAAGAAAGAGGACTAGCCCTACTGGGCTGAGACAGTCACGGTGCAGCCCTGGCATCCAGGTCAGGTGGCTGCAGGGTCTGCTGGGAGGCCCGGGCCGGAGGCCAGGCCAGGGCTCTTCCTGCCACTGATGCCCCTCCCCCCCAGCGTCTCTCACTAAATGGGGCTCACATGGGGGTGGCGTCCCACAGAGTCTGGGGTGACTCCTGCAATTGCCTTCTGTGAGAGGCCCTGGCCACCCTGGGCCCCGACATCTAACGTCCTGGGGTCCCTGCCTCAGCCCCGCCTGCTGCCACGTGCCCTGTGCGACCGCACCTCTCCTGTCCCTGCAGGTAAGGTGCCCGGCGACGACTGCCCGCTGGTGTGGGGCCAGTGCTCCCACTGCTTCCACATGCACTGCATCCTCAAGTGGCTGAACGCGCAGCAGGTGCAGCAGCACTGCCCCATGTGCCGCCAGGAGTGGAAGTTCAAGGAGTGAGCGCCCCCCCCCCGGCCAAAAAAATCTTATTCTGGTCTCTTTAAAAAGTCTTTTCCACATAACAAAAGTGTACATGTCCATCAATATTTATTATTAATTTGTCAGCAGAAGACCCTGTGAATATATTTAAATTGCCAGTCAAGTAACCCTGGAGGCATCCTTGGCCACCGGGCGGACTGAGGACTGGGCTGTGCCGTTTTCTCAGTCATGAAGTTGACACTTTATCCAATGAGTAAAACTCATTAAACTGCCTGAGCGTTGCTGGAGGCCTCTGCTTGCCTGTTTTTTCTTGGCCGCTGACGTGGCCTCGAGGCCTGTGGATATGAAAACTCTCATGAATAAACATCTCCGGGTGCCAGTGAGCCCAGTCACTCCCCGGGAGGCAAAGGAGCCCAGCATCAGCCGGGGAGCCGGGCAGGAGGGGCTCCCCTGGAAGGCCCGGAGGCGCAAAGGCCCAGGGGTCTGTTCCTGCCAATGGGGAAGCGAAGGAGGCGGGTGCAGAGGCCCACGGCCCCCCGGCCAGCTTCTCACTGAGGAAGCCAAGCTGGTTTGCGGGCCCTGGCTGGGCAGTTGGGCCACTGCCACGGTCCCTCTGCCAGGGGGTCCCCAAGCAGGTGCTGAGGCTGTTACGAGCTGTGGGGGCGATGCAGGTGCTGGGTGGTCTGTCTCCATCCCGTCTCCCCCTCCTCCTCCTCCAGGCTGACATCAGGCTGTGACCTCAGGGCAGGGCCATGGCCACCACCGGGAGGGCCTGCAGCTCCCAGGCTTTCCCCCTCCGTCCTGGCTGCCCCCTGGACTCCGCCCTCCTGGGGAGCCACTCAGTGCCCCCAGGCTTCCCACCCTCGCCCGCCCGTCTGGGCCGGTCACACAGCGCCCTCTCGGGGCACCCACACTCCCTGCACTTAGGCTCCTCAGCCTGGTTCTCCCAGGGCCTTTGGTCCCCTCAGGCCACACCCAGCTGCCCACCAGGCCCTGCACGCACCAGAGTCCAGTCACCGCCTCCTCCTGGGCGGGAGGCCCAGGACCCCATCCCTCCCCCAGAGGCAGGGGCCACCACCGCCCTGCAGACCGCCCCTAGTCCCTCCTCCCCCCCCCCCCACCCCGGGGGCCATCCTGCTGCCCTGCCACCAGCTGGTCCCCTCGCTGTGGCTCTAGTCAGAGTCTGCGTCCAATGCGCCTCCTAGACGCTGGCACCTAGTAGGTGTGCGACCATGAGCCTCGCGGGCAGTGTTGTCTCCTACCCCAGGATGTGGACGTTTCCAGAGCTGGGGCCTGGCCGCTCTGTTGCCCCTCCTCCCGGACGCCCCCACCCCCACCCCGCGCCCCCAGCTGCCCTGTTGGTGGAACCTCCCCCGGGTGTGAGAGGGGCGTGGTCTCTGGCCAATTGCCCTTCAGGGCCCGACACTGTCCTGGGCAGTGTGGTCAGTGGCTCTCTCCCGCCTCTTGAGCGCTGAGGACTCGGTGACAGGGCTGGGCGCCCTCAGATGACTGGGGGTTCAGCGCAGCCCCCCTCGCCCCTATCCTGTGACCCCCTGGAGATCAGACCATGGGCAGTGGGAGCGGCCTGGGCGCCCCTCCCAGCAGAGGCGGGCAGGGCTGGAAACGGGGGACCTCGGTCAGGGCGGGAGGACATCCTTGCTGCTTGACACAGTCGCTGCAGGGAAGAAACATCTGCACAGCATATGTTTCAAGGGACCTGGCGTATATGGCATACTGTTCTTAATATGTTTGCTCACCTTCTTGGCGCTATGTGTTTTAACCAAGGTCACCGCTCCGAGAAAGGTTGTTTCCCCAGGTAGGGATTTTTCCCTGAAGTTAGGGAGGGAATAAAACCCCTTAACTAAGTGCTAGGCAGGTAGTTAATCACAGGAAAAACAAAACCTAAATACTGGCTAGAGTGGACTTATAGTCCTGAGGTCAGGGAGAGGCCTCCCGGCCCCTGTTA